TGCCAAACATTTAAATAAATATTTAAGTTGAAATGTTATACAATTCTTTAACCTTCTAAGATTTTCAACAAAAAAAAAAAGCAAACACTTTGTTAAGTAATACACACACATAACCAACTGACCTTCCTTACAACCGACATCTTGGACTACAATCAAATTATCTTGAGAGAAAAAAAAAAAAAAAAAAAAAAAAAATAACATTTAAGTATCATTGAGATTTTTTTCCCCAATATAAATACAATCATTGTGAAATATACATTTAATTATAAAAATGACACTGGTAAATTAAGAAGCAAAGAACAAACCATTCTCTATTCCTAAACTATCTTTAGCTAACTTAACTAAACCAGTCGGAGGGGTGGTGGAGTGGTGGACTCTGCACTAAAGAAATAAATAAAACGTTTTGAAACGTTAAAAGCATCAATGGTCATTGTAATTATGTTTGGTTTTCATTTTCCAGTTTGAGGTGACAATGTTAAACTGAAAACATATGTATGTATGTATATATGTATGTTTGTGCGTTTGTTTTACCCTTACTTCCTCTCTAGTCGAAACATACACTATTCCATATCGTCCTTTGGCCATTAAGCATTATTAGTTTTGGTTTTCAAAACATCAGACAGACGGAAAGAGACAGTCAGAAGAGAACAGGACAGGTCCAGTTCTCCTGTGTGTGTGTATATTTGATAATATTGACATTCACAGTAGAACGAACGCACATACTAACTAAATAATTAGGGAGGTTAATTTTTGAAACCAAAAACCTTAGTATTGAACTACTCTAGTTAGTAAGGAACAAACTTAGAACCCAGTCGAGTTTTTTTTGTTTTAGGTCGTGCAACACCTCCAAACAACTTAAAGGATTTATCAAGGATGTGAGAAATTTAACCCAATACTTCCTTCAATGTTTAGTTACCCACATTTTATGTTTCCATATACTACTTTCCCCCGCTTCCCTACTAAAAACCATTATGTAGTTTAAAACAATGTTCACTAAAATTACAAATTTTCAGGTCATGTTACAGTCATCATCATCCCACATACAAAATCCTTGAGTATTTTTATTGCATAACTATAGAATTATCAAGTTAACCTGAGGATGAGGTGTGTGAAGGATAAGAAATAATTGCATTTAGATTAAGTAAGAAAATCTTTTAATTTATATTCAATTATTGATGTCTTCAAAGGACATATAGACTTTTGCAGAATAAACGTACAAGACAAAACAATTTGTAAAGGACAAGGATATGATTACATGATTTTATGGAACACTGATTTATACTTACAATCAAACAATCGATTTTGGGGCAATAAAGTGAGAAAATAGTAATTAAGCTGATTTTCTTAGTTGGACGCATATTTACCGAGTTATCTATTGAAGTCCTTAAAAGTTTTTCAAGGAAGCGAACGCTTTAACTTCGGAGGTGGATTCCCAGATACACACGCAACTAACTAACTAACTAACTAACTAACTAACTACTAACTAACTAACTAACTAACTAACTAACTAACTAACTAACTAACTAACTAACTAACTAACTAACTACTAACTAACTAACTAACTAACTAACTAACTAACTAACTACTACTAACTAACTAACTACTAACTAACTAACTAACTAACTAACTAACTAACTAACTAACTAACTAACTAACTAACTAACTAACTAACTAACTAACTAACTACTAACTAACTAACTAACTAACTAACTAACTAACTACTAACTACTAACTAACTAACTAACTAACTAACTAACTAACTAACTAACTAACTAACTAACTAACTACTACTAACTAACTAACTAACTAACTAACTAACTAACTAACTAACTAACTACTAACTAACTAACTAACGAACTAACTAACTAACTAACTAACTACTAACTAACTAACTAACTAACTAACTAACTAACTAACTACTAACTAACTAACTAACTAACTAACTAACTAACTAACTACTAACTAACTACTAACTAACTAACTACTAACTAACTAACTAACTAACTAACTAACTAACTAACTAACTAACTAACTAACTAACTAACTAACTAACTAACTAACTAACTAACTAACTAACTAACTAACTAACTAACTAACTAACTAACTAACTACTAACTAACTAACTACTAACTAACTAACTAACTAACTAACTAACTAACTAACTAACTAACTAACTACTAACTAACTAACTAACTAACTAACTAACTAACTAACTAACTAACTAACTAACTAACTAACTAACTAACTAACTAACTAACTAACTACTAACTAACTAACTAACTAACTAACTAACTAACTAACTAACTAACTAACTAACTAACTACTACTAACTAACTAACTAACTAACTAACTAACTAACTAACTAACTAACTAACTAACTAACTAACTAACTAACTAACTAACTACTAACTAACTAACTAACTAACTAACTACTAACTAACTAACTAACTAACTAACTAACTAACTAACTAACTAACTAACTAACTAACTAACTAACTAACTAACTACTAACTAACTAACTAACTAACTAACTAACTAACTAACTAACTAACTAACTAACTAACTAACTAACTAACTAACTAACTAACTAACTAACTAACTAACTAACTAACTAACTAACTAACTAACTAACTAACTAACTAACTAACTAACTAACTAACTAACTAACTAACTAACTAACTAACTAACTAACTAACTAACTAACTACTAACTAACTAACTAACTAACTAACTAACTAACTAACTAACTAACTAACTAACTAACTAACTAAGTAACTACTAACTAACTAACTACTAACTAACTAACTAACTAACTAACTAACTAACTAACTAACTAACTAACTAACTAACTAACTACTAACTACTAACTAACTAACTAACTAACTAACTAACTAACTAACTAACTAACTAACTAACTAACTAACTAACTAACTAACTAACTAACTAACTAACTAACTAACTAACTAACTAACTACTAACTAACTAACTAACTAACTAACTAACTAACTAACTAACTAACTAACTAACTAACTAACTAACTAACTAACTAACTAACTAACTAACTAACTAACTAACTAACTAACTAACTAACTAACTAACTAACTAACTAACTAACTAACTAACTAACTAACTAACTACTAACTAACTAACTAACTAACTAACTAACTAACTAACTAACTAACTAACTAACTAACTAACTAACTAACTAACTAACTAACTAACTAACTAACTAACTAACTAACTAACTAACTAACTAACTAACTAACTAACTAACTAACTAACTAACTAAGTAACTAACTAAGTAACTAACTAACTAACTAACTAACTAACTAACTAACTAACTAACTACTAAGCTAAACTAACTAAGTAACTAACTAAGTAACTAACTAACTAACTAACTACTAACTAACTAACTAACTAACTAACTACTAACTAACTAACTAACTACTAACTAACTAACTAACTAACTAACTAACTAACTAACTAACTAACTAACTAACTAACTAACAACTACTAACTAACTAACTAACTAACTAACTAACTAACTAACTAACTAACTAACTAACTAACTAACTAACTAACTAACTAACTAACTAACTACTAACTAACTAACTAACTAACTAACTAACTAACTAACTAACAAACTAACTAACTAACTAACTAACTAACTAACTAACTAACTAATTAATTAATAGATTAAAAACTCTAACCTTAGATATGCAATGCAGCGATCTCGAAAGTCTAGATATAGCTGGGCTCAAACGCAAGGGCTACATATTGTTTAAGCTAAGTCTGAAACCTCTCCTTTCACAAGAATGACGACAATTCTCAAGTACATTGAATCCTATTTCCTGGAATCTGAGATACCCCAGGCCGACCGATATAAGCACTCAGAATTACATAGAGGATAGTATGAACAAAACACGTCGGTGTTGAATGCTACGTATTCATACATAGTACTATACACTATTTTTACAGGAAATGTGTCATATTAAGACATAGGACCAGTTTCGTGCTTAAGGTTTGAATACGTAGCATTCAACACCGACGTGTTTTGTTCATACTATCCTCTATGTAATTCTGAGTGCTTATATCGGTCGGCCTGTGGTATCTCAGATTCCAGGAAATAGGATTCAATATACTTGAGAATTGTCGTCATTCTTGTGAAAGGAATCTATATTATGATTTAATAATCCGATGGACTTATGTATGTGAACAAAAAGTAGATATGTAAGTGGAACGGACCATGAGCGCTACATCAAACCAGGATCTGGAATCGTTGCTAATTATAACACGTCACTTTCAGCAAAACGTCTCCTATCTTTAAGCAAACTGACCAATGGCCGTTATACGATACGTTATCGTTGTATAGTGCATATATAAGAACACTATATACAAACATCGGACGTGTATACCAGACTCTAAATATGTCGCAAACTATGAAAATCGACACCTACGAAAGAAAATAACAATGAATCGAAACATTTGAGAAAATACTCGTAGGAATCCATGAATGATTGAAACTTAGGGGACAAAACGAACCTAGTGTTCTATTTTTAACTATACAACCTGATCACAACACAGAAGTGCTTGCAATCATGGTGTGTAAACTGGTCTTAGTTAAATTTAAGACCTTTTTGGACTGTAAGTGATTATCAATCGATTACTCTCCCAGAGGTAAAATTGCATCGAATAATAATCGAAGGTACTTGTTTTATAGGAAAAGGAATTCGAGGAAGTTACAGAGTGATTACTTCCTCGCTCCCTTTTCTAAAACCTTAAGTTGTTTATTAACCAATAAGTGATGAAATATGTATGTCATCTCACCTCAAGCAAAAGAACCGAAATATTAACTTTTTAAAACTTTTAAGGATATGAACATAAAATAAATTTTCCCTCTAATATCTATACATTAACACAATTGCCTGGCAAAATTCCTTATCATCAGTGTTATTCTTCAAATCCAATACCCTGACGCAAAGTGCCTAAAGTAAGCAGCAC